CCCTCTTTTGAAGCATGATGTCCTTCTCCAAGGACTGGTCCCTCCTGGCAGAATGCCCAAAGTATGTGATAGGGAGCTTCAAAATCCTTGTCTCTAAGGAACAACTTGGTTTCACCTTCTCCAGGACAGACTTGTTTGTTCTTTTGCCACTACATGGTATGTTCAATACTCTTGTTCAGCACCACAACTCAAAGGCATCAGTTGTTCTGCCATCCTTAGTCATTGTATACCTCTCTGATTTGTAGCAAGTAATTGTGAAGACCATGACCTGGATCAGGTACACCTTACTCTCCAGACCGACATCATTGCTCTTCAGCACTCTGGAGAGGTACCTGCCAGCAACTTTCTTAATACAATTCATCTTTTGAGTTCCTGACTGCTAGTGCTAAGAATGTTGACTGTGGATCCAAGCAAGATGAAATTGTTAATGATCTCAGTCTTTTCTCCATCTATCATTGTGCTTCCAGTTGGTCCAATGGTGAGAATCTTTGTTATCTTGATGTTGAGCTACAATCCATATTTAAGACTGCAGTTCTTGACCTTCTGCAGCAAACACTTCAGACCATCCTCAGTTTTGACAAGCAAGATTGTGTCATCTGCAAAACTCAGTTTGTTGTTGAATCTTCCTCCAATCCTGATGCCACAGTCCTCCTCATAAAGTCCAGCCTCCTGTTCTGCATATCAATTGGAAAGGTATGAAGAAAGAATACATCCCTAACACAATCCTTTCTTGATTTTGAGCCATATGGTGTTCTCTGGCTCTGTTCTGACAACAGCTTCCTGGTCTAGGTATAGATTTCTCATGAGAACAATTAAGAGTTGTGAGATTTCCATTCTTCTCAATATTAGCCACAATTTTTTTTTTTTTTTTTTTGTTTGTTTTTTTTCTGTTGATATATTTATTGTCTTTTTTTTAATTGTTATTAAATTTTATTAGTTTTAATGAACATTTATAGGGATTTTTGGTTTTCATTCCTTCGTTGCTACACCATTCTCTCTACACTCCTCCCCAGTTTGTTCTTCTTCCCCCGCCATCTGAATGTCTGTTTTAATTGTCCAATTGCCGCAGTGCTTGTCAAAGCCAGTTCTGATTAATCTCCTTTGTCAGTGTGTCCTTTGCCATTCCCTATCACTCCTCCCTGAGAGAGACTTCACCCTGATTCATAAGGAAAAGGGGATGGCGTATTCTCTTAGCTACTTCCTGCTGAAAAGGGATGCTGTGGGTTTCAGGGTGAAGATCTTCTCTCACTACTCTAAAGGGCCCCTTTGGCAGTAGGAAACACATAGACTATTATGGAGATTGATTTTGGAAGTTAGATGCACTGTTATTGATTGTGCTTGGCCGTACATGTTCATATCCTTGAAGATGTATCATGGGGGTGTTGCAACCTAGAAGACACAAATTTAACTAACAAGTTATAAGTACATGCGTCAAAAATTATAGAAAAGTAAAAGAAAAGATTCTTTCATTGTTTTACAAGCCCTCCCCCAGGTCTCCTCCACCATGTAGCCATCGCTCTAGACTCCTGTGATGACAGAAATACCTAGTCACATATCTCTTTTAAACAGTTTTCTCCCTCCTCTGTTTCAGTGCAGTATACATTATTGAACCCATCTTACTCAGTCTCTCCCCAACCCCGGGGTTAGTCCCATTCTACAACAGTGGCATCATGTAATATTTGTCCTTTTGTGACTGGGATATTTCGATCATCAATATTAGCCACAATTTATGGTGATTCATAGAGTCAAATGCCTTTGAATAGTCCATAAAACACAAATATAAATTGTTTTGGTACTCTGTTTTCACCCAAAATCTATCTAACATTGGCAATGGTGTTTCTAGTGCCACAGCTGCTTCTAAACTCAGCTTATATTTCTGGCACTTCTCTTTCGATGTACTGTTCAAGTAATTTTGGGATAATCTTCAGAATTTTGCCTGCATGTAGTTTTAGGATATAGTTCAATAATTTCCGTGCTCTACTAGATTATCATTTTTGGAATGGGAATATATATGGATCTCTTCCAGTCAGTTGTCCAGATTAGTGTACTCCACATTTCTTGGCACTAACTACTTAATCAGAGAGCCTGCTCTCACAAATAATGTCTGTCAGGGGAGTTCACCCTACTTGATAGCTCAAAAGTGAACTGTCCTTGTTTAAATCAGTGAAGAAGAAGATAGGACCTGCCACTCTGTTGATTAATCTATTCACTCACCTATTCTGAAATTCCTCTACAGACAGTCCAACTGTCCCTAACTACTAACCTTGTCTGAAGCCACCTTCATCTCTTACCTTCACAACCACTCTTACCTCCTCTCTCAGATTTTCTTTTTTATACTTGTGAAAATGGATATAATAAAGCATTTTCCAGTTCAGCAAATTTTACATACATAGGATAGTGACTTTGACGGCACTCATCTTGTTGTTCAACTATTATAATTATCCTTTCTCTGGTTATTCCATCAGTATCAGAACTTAAGTGCCCCCATATTTCTTTTTTATTGTATAAAACAGGTATCTTGTAAAATTTGTCACTAACATTTCAGTGACACTAATTACAGTTTTCAGGTTGTAATTATGTTTAGCCATCATCACTATTTAGTTCTAAAATGTTTCCATCCCTCAAGCAGAAACTCCATACCCACCCATTAGGTAGTAACTTTCTACTTTCTTCCCCTTCTAACCCTTGAAAACCACTGACCTACTTTCTGTATCTATGTTATTTTTCCATTTTAGGTATTTCATTTACATGGTATTTTTCTGTTTCTGCTCTTACCCAGCAATGTCTAGTTCTACGCACATTTTCAGTATGAACTTTCTAAAACAGGTCAAGTCAGCCTATCACAGTGGTTTTCTATACCAAGAAATAGCATAGACATTCTTACTGTCAAAAGACTTCCAGCCTGTGCTCTACTTCTGATACTTAAACTATCCATGCACCTCTGTTGTTCATAGACTTTTCAGAGATCTGTTATTTAAGGAGTAGAAGGCCAATCCTGCTTTCTAACCTTTCTTAATCTGGAAACTCAAACTTGTTTACTGTGGACAACCCAGATATGTCTTCGAGGAAGTACAGCCAGAGTGCAGTGCACCTCGGAGGCAAAAATAACAAAGCTTCAATTCACGTACTTTGGGCATGTTGCTAGGAAACGCTAAGCCTTGGAGAAGGACATCATGCTTGGAAAGGTGGAGAATTAGAGAAAGAGAGAATTACTCTCAACCAGATGGATTGACACAGTGACTGCAGCAGTGAGTTCCAGTATGTCAGACTGTGAGGATGGCACAGGATAGGACGGGGTTCAGATCTGTTGTTCATACTCAACTTGATGGCACCTAGTAACAAGAACAACAGTTGTGAAAAGTGTGTCGTCAGATCTGCACTCACTGCACAAGGGAGAATAGTCCCCATATGTAATATTGTAATATCTGTACCAGTAAACTTACTCTGAAGAGGCCAGAGATGCCTCTGTGCTCTTGCACCTGCTTCTAGAAATTCTAACATCAACTGTCCCTCCCAAGGCCCTCACTGCTCTACTGCTGGGTCTATAAATCCATTGCAGTGGCCACAGAGAACTCACAGATAAAATTACAAAATTTATTTTAGAATTTAACAGGTTACAATTCAGGCTGAAAACATGATCTAATTCTTCAGTCATAATAGTTTCTCAGGCATGTTCATAGGCCCTTTGACCTTCAGTCTTTCTGCTCCAGGCCGGTGTTTCAAAACTCTCTTAGTCTTGTCAGTTATGAAATCACATTCCCACTCTAGTCCTCTAGCAAGCGTGGGCCAAGGCCCTCATGTTAGTCTCAGGCTCTCTGTTGCCCTTGTCTAGGTCCTGGTCTGACTGGCATAGGAATCTCTGGTCCAAATGAACAACACATGCTTTCCCTTCTTAGAAAAACCAAAATATATTAATGCCTACACTACCAGCGGAATATTTTTGCTCTGTCCTGTATAATTATATAAGCAAAAACTTGACAGCTTATAATTATGACAACAGGAGAACAAAAAATGAAGTTGTTTTAGAGAGAAATGAAAGTCTAGGTTCAGTTCAGCAGCACAAATAAATGTCTGATTTCCTCAGTTGTCCAGCAGGCTTTGCCTCATAGCAGTCACAGGTCAGTTATCCAAAAGCAAAAGCTTTAACTGTGGCTTTATCCTCAAGGTTCCTCTGGTTACACCTTGCCACAATCTCTTCACAGTCTGCCACAGTCTCTTCACATTATTTTCACAGTCTCTTCAGACACCCTCACAGTGTCGAAAGCATTCTCTTATATTAGTCCCCAGGCTGTTGATGATTTATAAGAAAACCATTCTCCCAGCAAGGGCTAAGACAGTGGGTAGAAAAGTCAGTTTTTAAAGTTATAATACCACACACCCCAACATTATTGCATAAAGCATGGTTGGAAGAATAGGTAACAACTTCATGGTTGAATCTAGAGGTTGAATCAAGACAATAGGACTTAAGAGAGAAAGCAAGTGGTAGTAAACTTTATCATGTTATATTTCTTTTATTCATAAAACATCTAAAGCTAAGAAGAATATTTGTATTTGTTAGTAGTAGTACTTTTTGTAAAAAGAGAAATAAAGAGTTGCATTTGAAAGATACATGTTTAAAAAAAAAAAAAAGAAAGATACATGTTAATGCCAAGTAGAAATTGGATTTTATCAGAAAAAACTTGAAAGGATTTTACACTTATGGCATCTTGGATTATTGGTCTAGAAAATATTTTCATTCAAGGACACAGATAATTTCTGATGAAAAGACAGCTTCAAACTAAATGTAATATCCTCCTTACAAATAAGTATAATTATTTTGTATATGTGTATGTGGTTACACATGGCTAGTAGATTGTATGCTTAAATAATTAAAACTTGAGTCAGTAACTTATTTTATGTAAATTATTAAGTGATAGGACTTTAATTTTCATTTGCTTATTCTTATTGGAGAACAAAGATACACAAATGTTGGGTTTTTTGTGTGTTTTGTGATGGTCTAGGTTATGGAAACTCTACCTTTAATCCCTTCGAAAATCTGGAAGAAGAGATGACCAGGTAATTAGACATTTTCCTTAGTGCTTTTAAACTTATCTATACCAATCCAGTAATCACAGGAAGGAATCTAAATTCCAAGGAGAGCAATGTGGTTTCTTTTATGAAAATATTTTCATAGTTAAATGTACTGAAGTTAAGGTTAAATCTAAATTAGATTTCTGTATGCATTCATAAATACAGAATATCATATATGGGACAAGAATATGTTCTAAGTGACCTTTTAAAATGTAACTAGGTAGTGATTTTGTAATTATTAGTTTGATTTGTGATATTTTCAATCACATTATGATGAGAGAAGCTGATAGGGTATTTTGAACTCCATTTCTAAATTCTAAGCAATGAAAATAAAAGAAGAATGTCCAAGAATAAAGATAGTCACTGTAACCTTAACTTACCTGGTGGAAGCTTTTTGTTAATGATTTCTATATTTCACTGTTTGATCACCAGGACAGCTTCTAGCATATCTAAAAAGTGTTACTGTGAGGATAATGATTAAACAAATTTTTATAAATGCTCTGGTTGGTTTTAAGGGACTGAAGACACTTGGTCCTATTCTGAAAAATGGGAATCAACTACAAATACTTCCATGGAGAGAGACGGATTTTTAATATTATAAAAAAGAAAATAGTGTCTTGTGATCGTCTTACAAAGCCTGACATCTAAAACTCTTAGTTAGTAAAGAGACTGGTACTTTGAAGTCGTTTACCTGATTGTCAAAGCATGAATTCTGTTTATCAAGGAGGGGATTTTTTTTTATAGCAACCTCTGGCTGTCTTACGAACACTGGGATAATAATTAATTACTGAGTTATCCATTAGCTAAAATTTAGTGTTCTAAGTACATCCTCTTTGATAAATGCACTGTGAATTACTAGTGTAACTTGGGGAAGATTTGCTTACCAAGTTTTGAACATCAAATTGTGAATAATGGGATCAGCAGCCATCTCATTATTGTTTTTATCTTAAAAATAACTAGTAATTTCATAGTTTCTGCATCACTCATACATTTTTTAAGATGGCAAGCTGTAAATGTTAAAAAAAAAGTGGGACTGTTGGAATCCTGTACTTCATTTTCCAGTGTTTGCCTTTAGCCTGAAAATTAATTTTTTTGTAAACCCCTTGAGTTTATTTTCTTAAAATAGGGAGTCTCCTAGCAAGAAAGCATTGATCAACTTTTTCTAGAGGATCAGAGTTTTTATAAAAGGCTTATGCTTTTGTTACCATTCAAACGGGTAGAGCCACTATTTAGTTGACGATGTCAGGTTAACTCCTGATGACAGTTGGATAGATAATATAAGAATAATTTTCATTTTCAGTTGTTCTTGCAAGATGAATAGCACCAAATGCCATGGGACCATTTCTGTCCCGTGGTTCTACTTCCTGACCTGTCTTTTAACTTATTTGCATCCCTCAATATACAGAGACCATTTACTCATCAGCTGATGGTGATGAAATAAAAGTAGACAGGAATAAAATAGTAGGTCTAAAACCTGATGCTGTGATGTTCTAATGTGTCACCCAAGTCTTTTGTCATTGTGGGCTAACAACTTTTGGTTGCATCCTGTAGGTTAGCATTGGCTCAAGCCTATTTCACACATTCATGTGTTGCAACTCGATTCTTCATTTTGCCATTTAGAAAACAGAAGCGTATAGAGTTTAAGCAATTTGCCTGAGGTTGTGGTAACTAAAAATAGCCCTGGAATTTTATCTGAAGCATAAACAATACTCAGTCGTTCTAGTTAGTATACTGAAAATTTGATGCTAACTATCAAACTCTGCTTGCTACGGTTCTTTATTAAGAACAGTGAGGTTCCCAGATAACTTGAAATAGTAGAATGAGTAAAATGTTGGGGAAAGACATGCTAATTTAGGAAATAGAGAATGTGTTCACTATTTTTATTATTTTTTTTAAAAAAGAAGAAAATTTTAATGTTAAGAGTATGCATAGAAAAACTAGAACATGTTTTAACCATTCAGTTGGTTTTGTGGCTTCTTGAACAACTAGAATAACATTTTCCATGGAGAAAAAGAAATAAGGAGTCATTAAAAAGAAATGAAACTTGTAAAGGCTGTTTTGAAATGTTTATGCAAAATTTGTTTAAATTCTGTTGGCATAAAATTATGTCATTTAATCCATTAAGCTTATATTACATTTTTTAATGTTATTGTTGTGAAGTATATGTAAGAATATATTTTTATTGTTTTTCAGATATGCCTATTATTACAGTGGAATTGGTGCTGGTGTGCTTGTTGCTGCCTATATTCAGGTTTCATTTTGGTGCCTGGCAGCTGGAAGACAAGTACACAGAATTAGAAAACAATTTTTTCACGCCATTATGCGACAGGAGATAGGCTGGTTTGATGTGCATGATGTGGGAGAACTTAACACCCGGCTTATAGAGTAAGTGCCTGATTTTATGTTTAAGTCAAGGTGGTGCTAATTCTTACTCAAACAAGATATGTACCATCAGGTATTTTAGAAGATGGTAATTTATGTACCTCTGATGTAAGTAATTATGTGAGTAAATTCCTTGCAAGCAGTAACCACATCTTATGCATCCTTTTTGTTCTGCTTTCCTGTCAGGGCGTCAGGGGACCTGCATGACTGGCTGTAGGTGAGGGTGTAGATTTGCTCAAGACCTTGCCTGAGATTGTGCTGTAGAACAACCACATGACATGTATAGGTTGATTAGCTTTTTAAAGGACTCATGCCTGTTTCCTAGGGCCTTGTGGACTGCAGGCGAAGCCTGATGGGGTAGTGGTAACTTGGCTGCTCACTTAAAGGTTATTGGTTTGAGCCACCATCTGCTCCATGGGAAAAAGATGTATCAGTCTCCTTCTTTAAATATTTACAGCCTTGGAATTGGAAACCCTACGAGGCAGTTTGTACTGGAGGGTTGCTATGAGTCAGAACTATTTGACCATAAAGGGTTATGGGCTACAGATCACTGTCTTTGGAAAGAGATAATTCTGCTGGGAAAGGTGGAAGGCTAGAGAAAGAGAGGAAGATCTCAAACAAGATGATGGATTGACACAGTGATTCTAACAGTGGTTTCAAGCATTTTAGGGATTGTGAGGCTGGTACGAGGTAGGGCAGGGTTCAAATCTGTTGCCCATGGGGTTGCTATGAGTTGTGCTTGACCCGACGGCACATAACATCAGCAACAAACACATTAAGCATACATAAAGAGAAGATAGAAGTAAATAAATGTAGTATACTGAAAAGGGGGAAAAGATACTTTATTCAGAAGAAATGTTCATAATTCTGACATCTATTTCTAACACCATCTGTTCTTTTAGTGATGTCTCCAAAATTAATGAAGGAATTGGTGATAAAATTGGAATGTTCTTTCAGTCTATAGCAGCATTTTGCACTGGTTTCATAGTAGGATTCACTCGTGGTTGGGAGCTGACCCTTGTGATTCTGGCCATCAGTCCTGTTCTCGGGCTATCAGCTGCTGTCTGGGCAAAGGTAAGTAAGGCCTGTATCTCCAGGTGGTAAAATGTTTCTGCTTTCCTTCACTGGAGAATCCTTTACCACAGGGATACTGATGATTCTGTACTTAATATTTTTCACTTGGTTTTAAATCCTCTGTTCAAAACCAAAGGGAATAAACAGACTGTAAGCCTCCCTGAGACCTAACCTTGCCAGACACTGTGCTACTCTCAGAGGCATGGTTATTTAGTGGAAGGATGAGAACAAAAAGGAATGACTCTCATCTTCCCTCTTGCCTTCATACAAAAAAAAATAAGGCTGTAAAAATCATACTGAGCTCTGGCTAAGGAGTTCTGTAACTGACCTAAAGGTAGGCAATTTGAGTCCATCAGCTGCTGCATGGGAAAAAGATGGGCATTCTTCTCCTATGTGATATACAGTCTCTGAAAACTCATTCGAGGGTTATGGGTCAGTTCTGAATCAATAGTACACAATAACAATAGTACACAACAGCAATAACAAAGGCATGCTGAGGAAGCCCTGCTGGTATAGTCCATAGGATACTGTGCAATTGGAATACTCCATGCTGCTCCAAGGGAGAAAGACAGTAGTCTCCTTCCATGTGATATACAGGGAAGACATGCTTGAAAGTCAGCTATGAGTGGGTTCTGACCTAATGGCAGTGAGTGAGTTGAGTGAGTGAGTAAAGGTCTTTTGGATTCTGAAGAGCTCTCTCTACTGATTAGTGCCTTTTTTGGAGAATAAGGTGAGATTCACGTTCAGTGAACAACCCATGCCCTATCCGGTTCACATAGATTTTAACAGTTTTGGTTTTGTAGCTTTTCTTTCATTTGTAGCGAGTTTTACAGTTTTGTCTGCATTGTAAATGTTGCATGTCAAATATTGAAATACACCATTATACAAAGTAGGAGAATCAAGTGTACTTTGTAGTCCTGTATCGATGCAAATCAGTCACAAAGGCAAAGCAGTAAAGCTACTAGCGCTCCCCATCTCTGCACACACTTCTCTGATGATGATTATAAAGTTGACTCACCCTTTCAGGTGTACCACATGGTGTTCATTTCAAACTAATTTGATGTTAAGTGTGGGTTATACTGAAGAGAAATCCTCAGTATGTAATTTGTGTTGGCCTTGTTACAAGTTAGAGAAGTATACCAATTTGTATAGCGGAAAGATAGGAAAAAGGAGAATCATTGAAATCTAAGGCCAGCAGAGCAAAACTGGTTGTAAGTATTTAAGGAGACCTGGTGGCATAATGATTAAGTTCTCAGTTGCTGAGTAAAAAGTCAGAAGTTCGAGCCTACCTAATGACTCTCTTGGAGAAAAGACCTACAGATGTGTTCCCATAGATATTTTAGTCTTGGAAACCCCATGCGACAGCTATGCTCTATTGTATAGGATAACTCTGAGTCAAAATCTGTTCTATATCATAAGAAGTTGTGCAAAATCAAGACATTTTACCCCTATAGAGTAGATATTGCTGTGTTTTTGTGAACAATACTATTTATTGACCATCGACTATATTGTAGTTGTTATGTGCCATCGAGTTGCTTGAGACTCATAGCGACCCTATGTAATACAGCCCTAAACCCTGCTCTCTCCTGTGCCAGTCTCACTTTCTCTGATATACCTACCCCCATTACCCCAGTCACTGAATAAATCTATATATGTTTGTGTGTGTGTGTATAATATATATTTTTGCCTTATATAGTAGATTCTGTTGTACATTGTACGTGTGTGTGTGTGTATAATTCTCAAGAATAGTTGTCTCATTTTAGAGGAAGAAATTGAAGTTCCAATACTGTTGATACATTTTCAGAATAACACAGGTTTGAATGGTGTTCTTAGTGATTAGATTGTATCTCAGCACCTGTTAACCAAACTATCTGGCAAAAAACTTCTCCAGTTAATGAATTTTTTTTGTTTGTTTGTTTAATAGAAACTTAAGCAAAATAAAAGAACTCTGGTTTCTTCAATTCAATGCAAGTTAAAATATATTTATTTCAGTTCCAGTTAATGCAGAAAAGATTAACTGTAGTTAATCTTTAGATAATGAAATGGTTATTACTTTGGTTACTATTTATTTAAAGGTAGGAGGGAGCGCCCTAGACTGAGAGCTGGAGATTTAAATTATAAACTCTCCTTCAGCCACTATAAGGTTTATGCTTGAGTTGAAACAAATCTTATAAATTCTACTGTCAGACACAATATAAAATGTGGCTTGGTCTACAAAGCATCTTCATCTCTGAGCCTAAGGCTTTTCTTTGGAGACACAGGAGTGAACAGGCAGAACAAGAAAACATGATCTACTCCTACCAGGAGATCTGGTCTGGGAGGTTCTGTGGACCTGGGACTTTGCTTCAGGAAAACTGAGGGAAATAGGGAACAGAGCTCAGGTAAGATAACACTCTAAACCCGTCACCACCAAAAAATACTCAGTGACTAGACCAGGAGAAACTACTCCACCCTCTCATGTAGCAGACCAGTAGTAGGTACAGGAATATCAGATAAGCTAACCACAGTAACACCTTGGGGTGTCAGAACCCATGAAAATTGGCTTTTCTAGCCATTGTTTTAGTCCTCATTGGGGGCATGGTCTCCAGTTACCTTAACTGCATACACATGGTATTGCAACTCATCAAGAGCTGTGGGACCAGTATAAGAGCGCACACTTTCTACACTGTGAGGTACCTTCGTGACAGTAGTGGAGAGAGGGTAAAGAGACTGTGGCACTGTTGTGAAGAGACTGTGGCATGGTATAACCAGAGGAAACCTGGAGATAAAGGTCACAGTTAAAGGTTTTGCTTGATAGATGAACGAACAAAAAAACTGACTTATAACTGCTCTGAGATAAAGTTTGCAGGATGTTTGAGGAAACCAGAGACTTCTTGCATTGGTGCAACTAAACTACTATAAGTTTTATGATTTTGTTCAAACAAATCTGGATTTTCACTAATTGGGGGATTGTGTCCTGTTAATTTGGTTTGGTACTTTTGGACTAAGATTTGTGATATTCTTTGCCCCTCATTCTCCAGCCTATTTTCCTGATAAATCCCACAACTATAAGTAAATTCTGTGATTGAACAATGAATATTGGACCCAAATAATTGCTAGGAAGAGATGCAGGGGCAGGGTGGGTAGCACATCTGACTGAGCAGTATCTGCTGCTGTGAATATTACTGATGGGGAGACAGTTCCCTTTATGATACAGAGAGAAGTCAGAATTGGCCTTTGCCACGTTATATCTGTCCTTAGGCATACCACAGAAAGTCCGAATATTGAAATCTGAATTCAGTACTTATTTCTGAATTCTTTCAATACTGAAACCGGATTTCACAAAAGTAGGCCAAGAATTTCATACTGAATCTAAACAGGGGATGACATCCTGTTAAATTAAGGCTCCTAATATATGACAAAATGTCTAAGTTAGAGCTAAAAATCACCTATACCAAAAAAAACACAATTTGGATGAGAGAACCCATAAGTTTTTGTCAATATTAAGTAGAATCAAGAATGTAGGAATTATATGACTAAGATTTTACAGCAGCCATCGTAAAAAACAAAAAAACAAACAAACAAAAAAAAACACACCAAAAAACCCCCCGCAACAACCCAAACTCCAACAAATTCTCTTGGAACAAATGAGAAAAATAAAAATAGAGACAGTTAAGAAATGCCACAGTGTTTTTCAAGTGCTAAAATAGAAGAACTGTCAACTATAAATCCTTTTTCAGGTAAAATTTCTACCTTCAGGTATCAAGAAGAAATAAAAACATTCTCAGATTTAAGGGAAAAGATTTAGAACTCTTCAGACATAAGGGAAATAATAAAAAAACGTACAAAACCCCAATAACAGAAAGAGCAGGATTTGGGCACATAGAATAATCTTTTATTTGCTTTGTAAGTTTCCTAAATCACTTAAATATATAAATAGTAAAATATTGAATACTAATAGACTGTTATAAATTATATATGCATCTTGTAATACCCAGACAACTGTTATAGAAACCACAAAAAGAGATGCATAACAAAGTTGTATATATAAATAAATAAGGCTAATAAGAACTTTCACGGCTTAGTGGTAAGGAGTTGCACTGCCAACCCAAAGTCACATGGCTCGAGGTCACCAGCTGCCTCATGTTAGAAGAATGGAAAATCTCCTCCCATTAAATTTATAGTCTCTGAAAACCTACTAGACGGTCAACTATGAACTGTTAAAATTCCACCGTATGTATCAACAACAATAAGAACTGGAGTGCGGGATAAAGAGAGAAAATTACAAACGTCAGTGTTTGTAGCAATAATTAATTTACATGTAAATCGTATAATCAATCAAAAGCTGAGATTGACAAGTGACAAAAACACAACCCAACTCCATGTTGTTTATAAGAAAACTTACTTTCAAGCCACCAATGCTGTTCAATTTAAAGTAACAGAATGGGAAAAGAACAGTCATACAAACATTAAAAAAGTATCAGGAATGGTTATATTAATGTGGTAAAGTAGAATTCAAAGCAAAGATATACTGTGCAAACATTAACTTTTTTAAAAGGGGGTGCATAGTTATAAATTATAACTATATGAAATTATAATTATTATAATAAAATAGATTTGGGAGCAAACAAAATTTATGGGGTCAAATATTATATAATGATCAATCCTTTGACTAGGCCCAAATAAAATAGCCTTAAAATCCATGAAGTAAAAACTGGTAGAGTTAAAAGTAGAAATAGACAAATATTTAGTTCTTCGCCTGGGTGATAGTTATACACTAAAATCTTTGCACTTTTATTTTTTGTTTTTATAACCAAAGTTTTATAACTTTATTTGATAATCACCTATTAGTTTTTATTCACATTGACGGTCTGTAGATTCTTGAAAGTGTTGACAGGTACATTTGCCTTTTAATAGACATCTCATTAAAAAAAGGGAGGGGGAAAGGCTGAATGAAGATTATATGATGAATTGTGGAAGGTTGTAGAAAGGAGGCACAGTCAGGCTTGTTAAGTCCTTGA